GCAGGAGGTAGTCATCAAGCTCAGCGCTCAATCGGTGAGCGAATCTGAAAATAGTTCCATTTGATTACGCATATATGCTTGCAACTTCGCCAGAAGATGCATGCTTTCCTTTCCCTGATTCCTGAAAGTTTTTGGCTTTCTCGATTCGCAGATCCGTCTGTGCTTTCTCAGGGAGCCAAAATTTCCCTTGTGGCTTTTGATTTATCGAGTTTGAAGTTTGAATTGAAGGACAAAGCTATGGGAGAGAGCGACGACTGCTGCGCGACCCAGTTGATCGACGGGAATGGCGAGTTCAACGTGGAGGGCTTGGAGAACTTCACGAAGAAGACGAAGCTTTCTGATTGTGGACTCTCGTATGCCGTTGTCGCCATCATGGGTCCTCAGAGTAGCGGTATGAGTTCCTTCATTAGTTCATTTTGATTTTGAGTTCCCCTTCTTAGTTGAATTTGATCAAGATGGGATTTTTCGTTTTTGGGTTTTCGTTATGTAGATCTTAGCATCTGAAATTTGTTCATTGCTTCGTGTAGTCATCTAGCTGAATCACTCATGCCAGATTATTGGTTCTGTCAGTTTGATTCATTCTCAGCCAGTCAGAATGAGTCTGTTCTGCAGTTGGCTAATTTGATTCCGTTGAGCAACCATGATTATATTTTCCATTGCCTTATGTCATTTACAGGGAAAAGTACGCTGTTGAACCACCTTTTTCATACCAGTTTCAGGGAGATGGATGCTTTTAGGGGAAGGTTAGCTACTGTCTTGGAGATTCTTAGTACTGAATAGTTTTCAGTGGATGGGAACTTTTGATTTGTTTTTCATAAACTATCTACATTACTGTGCAGGAGTCAAACAACTAAGGGTATCTGGATGGCCAAATGTGTTGGGATCGAGCCTTTCACGGTTGCCATGGACTTGGAGGGTACTGATGGGAGAGAAAGAGGCGAGGTAAGATGCTCAGCTAGTTATCTAAAGAAAGTTGAAAATTCAATTAAGAAGTCAAAATTTAATTATTGATGCTGCCAGAAAGCTAGGATAGTAGGATGTTTCTTTTAGTGTATGACAATAACTCTTCTTGCTTTCTCATTTGTGTATATTTCTATGTATCTTACGAATTCTTTTTATTGACAGACTCTGTAGACATGACCTTCTCTCTATGTTCTCCTAGCATGTCCTAATTATTCACCTTCCTTTTTCTTTTTCTCTCTTGCACGGCGCTATTCCTCATCATCCTTTTAAGAATTTCAATTTTCCTTAACTTTCAGGATGATACCACATTTGAGAAACAAAGTGCCCTGTTCGCCCTGGCTGTCGCAGATATCGTATTGATAAACATGTCAGTCTTTCGATTTGTATGCTCTTCTTTAGATAACCAATGTAGATGTTAAATATTCAAGCAGGATTTCACGTTGCCTATTCTATAAGAAGGGACAAAAAGTTACTTGATATCTATAGGTTTTGATCTCTTTATCTGAGACTGAAGTATAATATTGAAATTCATTTTTTACTAAACTCGTGAACAGTTCATTTTTTACTAAGCATCTGTTAGTTATTGACAATTCTTTGTTCTAGATACCAAATATAGTATGTGAATATTGAATTAATGAATGCTGTAGGTGGTGTCATGATATAGGACGAGAGCAGGCCGCGAACAAACCTTTACTGAAGACAGTTTTCCAGGTATCATGCCATTTTTTAAAGTTGGAATGTACTGGTTGAATTAATTTTGTTCTGTAACTTACACCACTATTGTATTATAGGTCATGATGCGGTTATTTAGTCCGCGGAAAACAACTCTTCTTTTTGTCATACGCGATAGAACAAAGGTTTGGTTATGCATTTGAATATGCTTCTTGATGGCAAAATCATGTTATTGTTTCTTTTTATATTTTAAGTTATGCATTTTTCTTTTTTCGCTAATTATTTTCCTGTCTGCGATTGTTTAAGACTCCACTGGAACTGCTAGAGCCTGTTCTAAGAGAAGACATTCAGAAAGTATAACATCCTCCCTGTTATATAAATGGATACTTTTTCTCATAATAGTTTTCTCCTTTCTCATGTAAAGCATACTGTTGTGGTCTTCTGCAGATATGGGATTCAGTTCGTAAGCCTGAAGCACATAAGAATACTCCTTTAAGCGAATTTTTCAATGTATGGTGATATTCCTCCACTTAGATTCTCTGGTTAAAAAATATGTACTTAAAGAGCTGGCATTTGTGATTCCTAAGGTCATACACCTTGTGATGTATTTCGATTTAGTTTACGGGTTCTCATAATAAAATCACTCACATATCCATTATGCATGGATTTGTTCTTTATGTATCACCTTTCTATTTCTATTTGATGTTTTGCTCGATATGCTTCAAGGTGGAGGTTATCGCTTTATCCAGCTATGAAGAAAAAGAGGAACAATTCAAGCAAGAGGTATTCTTCTGATTAATAAACCATTTGTCTTGTGAAAGCTCAATTAACATGAGGCCTGTTTTATCTCATTTTAGTTGTTCTCAGCAGTTACTCAACCATTCATTTGTTAAAACTGTTTGACATTTAGACGGCAACATTAGAAGTTGTCATTGATTATATATAACCCTAAGTTAACAGAAACTTGTATTTAAGTTTCACTAGCTGCATGATTCCTGAAATATTTTATACAGGTTGCTCAACTGAGGCAGAAATTTTTCCATTCCATTTCACCTGGGGGCCTTGCTGGTGATAGACGTGGTGTAGTTCCTGCCTCAGGATTTTCTTTCAGCTCCCAACAGATATGGAAAGTCATAAAAGAGAATAAGGACTTGGACCTTCCTGCTCACAAGGTCTTCTGCTCATTGCTATATGTGTGTTATTAAAGCTTGCCTTTGAATACTTTGACTTTATATCATTTTGTTTCATACACTTAAGGTAATGGTCGCCACTGTTCGGTGTGAGGAGATAGCCAATGAGAAGCTACGCCACTTGGCCTCTGATGAGGTATGCTTGTGTGTTATCTTCTTTCCTGATTTTTTCTTATTGATGTAATTGTTTCGAGAGGGCTAATCGATAAACTTTATTTAGCGTTGGTTGGCATTGCAAGAAGCTGTCGAAAGTGGCCCGGTCTCTGGTTTTGGCAAAAAGCTGAGCTCTGTCCTTGACACCTACTTCTCAGAGTAAGTTCCTCATCTTTTTTTTTAGTGTTTAATTCTGGAGCGATGTTAATTTTAACGAGTTTATCTCGTAGTTTTTCCAGAGACTAAAATCTTCATTTGTTCTAGTAGATGTAAGCCAGATTTACAATAAGACTAGATTTGTAGACAACAACAATTTGTTTTAAGAACTTCTCTTATGTGCTGGGCTTCATTTGGAAGCCTGATCTCGCTTTCTTTTGTTATCCCATAGATATGATGCAGAGGCTGTGTACTTCGACGAAGGAGTAAGAAATGCAAAGCGACAACATCTGGAATCAAAAGCTTTGGATGTAAGACTTCTTGCTTAGGTTTGCACTATTGCAAACCATATTTATCCACTGAACTAGTTTCATTAAATTTTATGCTCAACCCTTGATTTGTTTACCTGTGATTTCTCTTTCAACCTTACATTCAACTTGTTCCTTAATTGCCAGTTTGTCTATCCTGCCTATGCAACCATGTTGGGACATCTGCGATCCAAAGCACTTGAAGGCTTTAAGCATAGATTGGAAGAATCTCTTTATCACGGAGAGGGATTTGCAAATTCTGTTCGGATATGCTATCAATCTTGCCTGCTGGAGTTTGACAAGGGATGTGAAGGTGAGAGCATGTGCACTTCTATTGGCAAGTCATTCAACTTTTGTATTTCAAAATAGAAGATTCCTCGCGAGAAAGACAGTTTTGGCTACTTATCCATTCAAACCAAAATTACGTGAACATTTACAGGAGATATGTTTCATGAATTTGGGTATTTAATTCTAGATTGAGCATGCCTGATGATTCTCAATTTCTCACCCAAAAATACTACATTGCATGATTGTTCCAATTCTCTGAGATTATGATATAGTGGCTGCTCCTGCTGCTTTTGGCCTGTATATTTGTGTTCTCATTTGTTGAACTTTTGTTCCTTCAGATGTTGCCACTAAACAAGCGGATTGGGATGCTTCAAAAGTCAAAGAGAAACTTTGTCGGGACATTGACTCTCACACATCTTCTACTCGGAGTGCTAAGCTGGCAGAGCTGACCACGAACTGCGAGGTTTGCTTTCGCTTTATCTTATGTTTTGGTTTCTTAGTTGTAAAGTTTCATAATTTTTTTTAATTTTCCCAAATGAGCTAATGTTGGTTTATGTTTGTTGATGTGCAGAAACGGCTTACGCTGGCACTAAATGAACCTGTTGAATCTTTGTTTGAAGCTGGTGGAAAGGATACATGGCCATCTATAAGGAAGCTTCTCAAACGCGAGACCGAGGCAGCTGTTTCTGATTTTTTTACTGCTGTTGCTGGGTTTGAGTTAGATCAGGCTGCAACTGATACTATGGTGCAAAATCTAAGGGACTATGCAAGGGGTTTGGTTGAGAAAAAGGCGAGAGAAGAAGCTGGTAAAGTTCTTATCCGAATGAAAGATAGGTAAGGGAAACGTTTGGCACATAATTTTCTTTGAAATTTTTTCCCTTTTGTTTTTGCTTGATTCTATGCCACACATGTTTCAGGTTCTCAACTGTCTTCAGTCATGACAATGACTCGATTCCCCGGGTTTGGACTGGAAAAGAGGACATCAAATCAATCACGAGAGATGCTCGTGCTGAGGTAATTCTCCAGAACTAATAGCAAAAATGTGAAACTGTGCAGCTCGTGTGATATGATGTCATGAAACTCTGTTAATTTACTGCAGGCTCTAAGTCTTCTATCCGTCATGGCTGCAGTACGTTTGGATGAAAGACCAGACAAAATCGGAAGTACACTTTTTACTTCTCTCATGGATGGAACTGTTTCTGTTGCATCTTCCCGGGATAGGAGCTTAGGAGCATCTACTGCTGATCCTCTTGCATCTAGCACTTGGGAAGAGGTAAATTGTCTGACTTTGCAGTGCTTTTTAGTATGAATGTGGTTCACAGAACAATTAAAACACCCTGTAACATCACAAAAATGGAACAAAAGCCAAACTTCCAAGTTTCTAGCTGACTCACGAACCTCTTGAGCATCAGTACAACACCACAAAATGGATCATCTGTTGAAATTATGATAGAGCTGGGCATTCCAGAAGAGAAGATAGGTTCTAATCCTTCGGCTGGGTGAATGTAGGTTCCTCCAAAAGATATGCTGCTGACACCTGTCCAATGTAAATCACTGTGGAGACAGTTCAAGACAGAAACTGAGTACACAGTTACGCAAGCTATTTCAGCACAGGTGGATCCCATGAACCTTGCCCAGAATGTGTGTATATATGTGTAAACTTATATATCGGACGTTTGCTCAATAATGTTTCCATTTCTACTCTCCAGGAGGCTCACAAACGGAATAACAACTGGTTACCCCCAGCATGGGCGGTTGTACTGATGATTGTCCTAGGTTTTAATGAATTTATGATGCTCTTGAGGTAAATATCCACGAATTTGTTGAACACCTACATCATCTCTTTCATATTCTCTATCTCCTGTTGCTTCGATTCATTGACATGTTTCATCTTATGTAACAGGAATCCTCTGTACCTCTTGGGTCTGTTCGTGGCATTTTTACTTTCCAAAGCCTTATGGGTGCAACTGGACATCCCTGGGGAATTTCAACATGGAGCAGTAAGATTTATTCCTTCTTACTAATCAAATCCCTTGATTAAAAAAATGTGATGAGGCCACATTTATGAATATTATCATCTAAGGCTGCTCTGTATCAATTCATCAGCTTGCTGGACTGCTCTCCATTTCATCGAAGTTTCTTCCAACAGTTATGAATCTTCTAAGAAAACTCGCCGAAGAAGCACAAGGAGCTGCAACTCAAGGGGCACCAAAACCACCAGAGTACTTGGCGTCACAGAACTACAGTCAGCAATCTCCATCAAACCACATTTCGAGAACAATACCCGAATCATCCGTCTCTTCGAACATCTCAGCATCTGACGGTGATGCTGAATACACCAGCCCACCACTGGTACAGAGACGAAGCACCAAAGTCCAGGAATCCGAGGTCTCTCAGCTATAAATTTCCTTGTGGTCAGAGATTTATATACCAGCCTTGTCTTTCTTTCACACAAATACATGGGTATCGTATAGAAGAATGTATGTTACACTTCATGTTCTGTTCAAAAGGGTCATGCTTTGGCGTACCCTAGTCAGAGAGGGACTTGGTACGCCAAAGTGTCCGGCTGAGACTTGAGAGATGATGTTGATGCTAAATAATGGGTTTTGGAGCACATTTTTTTGAAGTAAATGGTCTTTTTTTCAGTCCCATGTTGAGGTCCGGACTCGAAAACAATGATCATTGAATACCATGATAATACGGGAAATCTCATATCTTTGCATGAGTTATGATAACAAGGTTCATCGGAATCGCGAAAGTGCCGAGTGAGAATCAACTTCAAGTACAATTTTCCTTACAAAATAGAGAAATAGAAATAACATATTGATAAAAATTCAAATATATATCAACACAGAACAAGCATTAACACTCTTGAACCTTCCCAGAATTCAATGTGCCATACCCTTTCGGATCTCTCTAGAGACCAGAGTGGATCATGCTTCTAACGTTGTACGACCATTCTCTTACCAAGCACAACGACAGCAAAGATTCCAAGAATGTCCCTCCCTAAAGGTTCCTAGAGAGATCCAGATATCAAGGGATATCCCGCTGACAACATACAGTAAGAAGACAGAAAAGATAACAGAGATGGCATACCAAAAACTACGTTGACAACTTCGGGTTACTATGCCTATGTCTTGTTTTGACAGAACCAAATTTTACCTTCCCAATATCATTCATCCTATATAGAATTAAGAATGTCATTGTTTCTCCAATGGCTTATATACAATCGTTGGATTGTGCAGACGCCCACAAAAACGGGTATATATAACCAACATAAATATCACAGCAAGTTTCCCGAGTCCAAAGACCGAATCAACCATGTAAAAGTCGACTGACATGGTCCAGCATCTGAGTGCCAAAGGTTTGTAATGACGATATATAAAAGACAACAAAGAGTAGCATCTGATCATTACCTCCTAAGAATGATTTTCTAGCGAGTGTCTTCTGTGCTCAGGTTCAGCGTAATCAACCCGGCCCACCTTATCACTCTCTTCGATATTCACGTGGCTGTAGTTTAATCCATGTTCTTGTCGACTTCCATTCGGATTGCCTTTCGGGAAGACTTCCCAATTTTTTCTTTCAGCTGTTTGTCATTGGGGAAGCATCACTTACCATTTCACCTTCCTCCATATTTGCAACATCCCCCTTGCCACCAGTGCTGTTTTCATCTTCAACATCAGAACGTTCGCTACCCATGTGATCAGAGTTATCAACCTCTGCTGAGCTCAGTCTTTTCTTTCGCTTTGTTTTGTCATCCTTGGCTGCCAATTCCACATCTTCCAGTTCTCTTTCAATCAGATCATCATCATCCATCAAATCCTTTTTCCTCGTTCTCTCACCTTGGAGCTTCTTAGCTTTCTCTAATTTAGCCTTCACTGTATCTCGGAGTAATTTCAAGTCTTTGGGTGACTGGCTTACTGGGACATCACTTGTATCAACATTTCTAGATTTATGAAGAGTGCTGTCATCTCTATGATCTCCAGATGTCCTTTCTGAGTCTTCCTTCCCCGTTCGTTCAACTCCAGATCTAGATTTATGGTGGACTTCCCTCACACTATCCCTATGAGATGGATAATCTTCAGGATGATAGCTATCTTTATTCTCTCCGTCTCTTTCCCCTTTATGTTCGGTAATAACACTACCAGTCTCACCGCTCCCATTATCATTGTTCTGATCATGGTTGGCTTTTGATGGTCCACTATGATTATCAGAATTCGTGAGGTCAGGGGGCAGGCGTGATGACATTTGCTTAAAATTACCATACTCGTCCATGGAAGCTGCATTTCTTGACGCAGACCGAAGAGCTACCCCTGCCCCAGCACTACTTTCGACTTCACTTCCTTGAGATGAAGGAGCACGGTTTTGTTCATAAAGCTCAAGCATCTGGTTGCTTACGTCTGAAAAATACAAGTCTACCAGCGCTTAAAGAAGCAACAACAACACAAAGAATCAAAACATCTTAAGTAGTTTGGCTGGTAAAGGAAGCAAATTAAACAATCATAAGCTTCGAGACAAGGATGGTACCTACCCTCCAATTGACGAGGTGTGATATCAAATTCTTGCCACCAGAGCTTCTCTCCATCTGATGGTAACTTCACTTTAAGGAACTTGGCAGCAAGAAAAATCGCACCCGCCGCAATGTGATGGGGCTTAAATTGCAGGCAGAGTGACGTCCGCAGACTGCATGCCACTTTCCATTGTATGAAGAAGGAAATACAAGGCAAATAGAAATATCAGAAGCTTGAAGGGAACAACATTTCAACATACCCATCATTAACAAAATTCCACGCAACTTGGGCAAGAGCATTCTGCGCAACCTTAAACCTCTTAATTGCTTCTACAAGGGGTTTATAAGGGTGAAGAATATTAAAGTCAAAGCCTAAAGTTGAAAGTACAATCTTTTCTCCGCTTAGTATAAGCTCTTTTTGTTGCTCATACACTTCCTGCAAAAGTGAAGTAAATACAAAAGGAGGGATTAATAAACTATAGACTAACAAAGAATTTTCAAGTGAAAAAAGAGTATAAGAGGATAGTCCCTAGACCACTAAAAAGCATTATAGTCCATGCGTCAGATGAACCACACCGTCAAGAAGAAACAGGAAAAAAAAATGGCACCTTCATTTGTCAACTGACAAAATAAGAAGCAATGAAGTAGAAGATAAGTAGAATGAAGAACACCTTTTGCTTGATTCTCTGTGCTGCAGCAGGATCCTTCTTGTGGATTATCTCGTAAGAGACAACAATAACATCTTTTAGTGGCCGTGGAGTTTCCTCAACCTTTCCAGCAAGGAACATGCAGACAGTTGCGATTGTCTGGATAGCAAAACAAAAATATCATGAAGGGCTCTGTAAATATAAAACAAATATTGTTTGCTCTAAAAGCCACAAGTTCCAGTTTGCAAGCAACTCTGCCTTATTCAGAAAGTTAATTATATCAACTTAGTATTTGTTTTCTGGGAGTAGCAATGCACTCAGATTATATAAAAATGTTCATCAACTTCGCACATTATCAGATCAGCTAAAAAGGGAACTTAAATCTAAGAACAGACTTTTCTGGTCAGTCCACGTGTCAAATTCAGGTTAAACTAGAGAGGAATCCCTTAGAGATGAAGACAAAACAACCATGGAAAAAAAAGGAGCTCGAGTTCCTTTGCATATCAGAATTGCTCAAACAACACCCATTGGAACCCAAATTTGCTTTGATCACTAAACCGTACTTTAATTGTGATAATAACTCACCCTCCTGTCATTCTTGGCATGAGATTGACAAATGAAGAATCGATGACAGAATATTATTGCCGTAGCTATTGTTACCTGGGGGCTGCATTGAAAAACTATTTCAGTAACATTTTCCAAGGGACACAAAAAATGAAAGCTTCTTACGATACAGATAAAATCCATATCTATATCAAGAAAAAGCCACACAGCAAGAAATGAGATAAGCACGTCTAAATGCCTTGCGGCATAAATTTTCGTAGATCCAGAAAGAACTCGAATGTTTTGGCTTTTGTTTATCAATGCCGTAAATGACAACCGAGAAAAACCGACTGAACTGTCAACGCCGTAAATGACCACTGAGAAAAACAAATTGCAGAAGCTCAGAATTTCTAAACATACAGAACGTATATGCAAAAGAGAAATCTTTAACCTGTAAGCGAAACTTAAGATTAAGAATAGCAGTAAAAGAAACCAAGCTAGCTTAATGTAGTCAAATGAAAATACATGAAAACTGAGAAGGGCAAAATGACAGTCCAAAAGACTTGGAGCTAAAAACTAGTAAGACTATAGAGCAGCAGAAAAAAAAATGCAGGATCTAAAAGAAACTTACACTTTCAACCGCATGCCCAAGTCTTGCAAAAAGGTACAGTATGATTTTCGAAGGTATATCTCCCTCTTTAAGTCAATTCCATCCCGCCTTGATGGTGAATGTTCTTCTATTTCTTTTCTAGAAAAATACCAGCGCCCAACCTCAGCTTGCTTATTATAGGAATTCATTGTAGTCCCACTCTCACAGTGCGAAGATTCAGCAGGCAACATTCCAGTCATTGCTATCTTCTAAGCCCAGAATACAGCTAAATCAGGATCAGGACAGGTGTCTATCACTTCAGAAACGGTGATAATCCTGATCGGCAATATGACACTGTGAGCAAAATTGGAGGCAAAGAGAACAAAAAAATATACATCTATCCTCCATGAGTAGAGACTTACCCCTATGCACCTTTAATTTGCATCAGAAATCCTTACACAGATCCGTCAAAATGCAGAGGGCAAAATAATTAATTCCATATTATATTGGATATTAGGGGGTAATTGAAACGCAGACAATGTAGAATAAAACAGAGTTAAGAGACTAACTCATGGAAACAAAAACTTGAAGCAATCTGGATTCTGGATAACAGATATTCCCAAGGAAAATTGCATTACCCACCTTCCCCGAAACCAACATACCCAAAAGAACCAGAAACCATAATGTTTAATGTTTATCACCAGAAAGAAAAACGTACTTGCTACTTAGAAAGCTAATTGCCACAGAGATTTTCGAAACTATCTACAATGGATGCAGATCCAAGCCCAAAACTTTATACCATTGCACATCCACCTAGCAGGGACAAACCCCCTATTTCACCTTCCAACAGCAATCCAATATAACCACAGATAGGAAGGAACCAAAAAATGTCTCAAGTGAGGGGAAAAAGGTATTACAGAGTAGCGACTCAGATGCAAGATGCCTCCTAAAAGACTACCAATCCGAGAAGAATCGACGCAGAGAAACAAAATCCCAAAAAAAATACAAAGACGACGGAGACACCCTGATCGAATGAATAATAGAACAAATCGACATTTACATACAAACCCATCCTTCGCCTTCCAACAACGATTCAATATATAAACACTGTGAGGAAGGAACCGGAAAAGTTTCTCAAAGAGCAGCAACCAAAAACAAAAAGAAAAAAATCGTAGAAAATCGGCGAAACCCGAGAAGAATCGGCATGGAGAGAACAAAGAATCCCAAAGAACCAAAGAAAACGACGAAGTGAAATCCCAATAGAATGAATAATACGAAAGATCGAAACTTACCACAGAGAAAGGAGCAACACCAGGGAGGCGAATTACAGAGAAGAATAACGCGTAAATAGCTGCGTTCGACAAACCCTAACCCTAAAGTGGTCGCGAGAACCAAAAGAACGGTGAGAGAAAAAAGGAGATATACGACGCAATAAAAGAGGACGACTGGAGCGGCGCCGAGTCTTTTATGGAAATTTTCTTTGGGGAAAAAATGGAAACTTTCTTTAATATAGGGGGCGAAAGGAAAATACTCATTTTTAGTAAGGTAAGAAATCATAAATTTGATAGTTATATTAAATTTGTCACTATATATAAATGTGAGAAAAAAAATACTATTAAACCACATATTATACGAGATTCCGAGGTAAAACATAATGCATCTTAGATTTAAATGATTAAAAACAGATTATCAATATAATCTTCCCATTAAAACCTCTGTTTCATATAATCCTAGAACTACATATACGTGAATGAAATAAATAAATAAATACATAAGTAAGCATAAATTAAACATGAACGATACATAATTAGCAAGTTTATTATTATGATTCTGTAGTCAAGTCAATACGCATAACTTGTGTGTTTTTTTAAATTCAAGAAACTCGTTATTTGAGATCGAAGACCAAGACCCAGAAGTCTATCATGCAATTCTTTTGCCAGCTAGCATGATCCATGCATGAACGTTCGTACGGATATAACATTGGTATACTCGAAATTCAACCAACTTCACATTTGACTCTTTTTGTTAGAACGTATAATGAAATGATTAAGTTAAAACACGAATACAAAATGAGCAACCATGTAAAAGAAAATCACAAAAGACTAGGGGTGTCAAAACGAGCCCAGCTCGCGAGCTGGCTCGTGCCTCGCCATAAAACAAGCGATCTGAGTCGTAATTTTGTCAGCTCGTTAAAAAACGAGCCTAACGAGCCAGAGCTCATTGAACACGTGTTCATTGAGCCTGGCTCGGCGAGCTGTTCAACGAGCTGATATTTTTTTTTAAAATTAATTTAAATTTATATAAAAAAACTCTAATATAATTTTATATTAATTTTTTTCATATTATTTATATGATATTATAAATATATTAATTATTATGATTGTGATAATTGAAAATATTAAATGATATTGGTGTTTTATTCTCAATGCATCACTCGATTATAAATATACTAATTATTATGATGGTGATAATTGAAAATATTAAATGATATAGGTGTTTTAATAAATTTTTATGTATTTATTTAAATTTATAATTATATTTAAAATAAATATAAATAAAAAATATTATATATCCTTAGCTCAACGAGTCGGCTCGTTCAGATCGGAAAACTGGCGAACGATCTGAGCCAAGGTTTTTCTGGCTCGTTAGAAAACGAGCCTAACGAGCTGAGCCCAAAACGATCCGAACCAAATGAGCCGAGCCCAAAATGATCCGAGCTGGCTCGTTTGACACCCCTACAAAAGACTAATGATTACGAAACCCTAATCATGTTACACATGATGACATAGATATTTTCATGTGAGCTTCTGACTTTCTTTCATTTTGCATTCTCTAAACCCTATTTCCTAAAAATAAAAATAACACACTTGCAAATATTTTTTCTTCCAAAACTGTCCATATACTCTCTTTATAAACTCATATCTCTTAGTTGTCAGTCCATAACACATAGGTTTGATCAGAGAGAGAGAGAGAACGAGTAGTGAAAAGATGACGACGGTGGTGTATTTCTCGGTCCCGTTGTTCGTAGTAATGGTGATAGCGGTGGTCGGAGGTTGCTTCGGATGCTATTTCTTGGGTAAACGCCAAGGCATTGGTCAAGGGACCACGCTCCCCACGGCGTACCCGATGGGCAGTAGCCCGAATCCGGTCGCGACACAGATGAACGGAGGTTACAATGGAGGGGCGCAACCTTATCCTCCGACGCGGGCTGTCTGAAAAATACAAAGAATATTCGAAAAGATTATCGCAAATTTTCTCGAGTCTTGTTTGCATGTCAAGATATAGGAAGATTCCGTTTCTCTTTTTCTACCTTGTGTTATATGTTATCTGTTTTCGTTCCTTTGACGTGGAGTTCAGTGTTATATTGTGGAATTGTTGGTTCCTTGTTGTGTCTGTCGGGTTTTGGATAAAGTTTGTCAAAATAAAATATATTTAAAATTATATTTTTGGTAAGTAAGCTTTATAAGCCACGTAATGTTGGATCTAGTTAGTAACCTAGACCGTAATAGGAGATTAAAGATGCCGTGCTTTCTATAGTTTATAAGCTAAATTCTCCGCAGTTTTTGGTTACAAAGAAAACTCCAAATTACAAACAAATCTAAAGTGAACATTGATAATTTCAAAAAACAAAACCAGTAGTTATATGAATCACAATTTTCGGAAAATAAAATTGAAAATCTGATCTTCAAAAAATTTAAAAAAAACACTCCAGAATTGTTTAGGCCCAACTTTATCAGCCCAAGCCCAATATGATCCGAAGCCCTTCGTCTACCTCTCTTGAGGCGACGCCGAGTTGCGAGAGTCGCATCGATGGCGATGACTCGACGAGGGAGACTCAGAGATGAGATTCATGACCACTGAATGAAGTAAGAATCTTCTACTCGTTTCTGGTGAACCTCCTCGTCTCGGATTTCTCATCAGGACGGTAACAAAGAGTATCGAAGATATTGCCGAGCCGATCTCGTTTCAGTCACGAACCGGTGGCGAGTTCCGAACCTCGACTACTGATTGGGTTTAAATTTTAAAAAAAGGGGGAATCTTCTTTTCCATTTTTTTTCTTAATCATAAACCCTAACCCTCTGTATTTATTTATTTTTAAATAGAAGTTGATATTGATTTTTTTTTTTTATAAAAACCGAATTTAGATTACAATTTTTTTAAAGTTTGAATTTGCAAACTATTTTAAATTTTTTATTACATGAACTATATATTTTTTTTCTTTCTAAATAGCAAGATTATCTTTGATCCCTACACCGTTGCAATGAATATAAAAACAAAAATAACTTTTGCATTAATTTGGTAAGATTTTATATGACTAGCAGAATTTGCCATGTTTTTTTAAAACCCCATTTTTTTCCTTAAGAGTTGGCATGATAAAGTTAAAATTGATCATTTTTTCTGGCCGGGCAAGCAATCCTTCCTACCCACTAGCAAATCAGTTTGATTCAATCCCTCAAAAAATGTCCTGAGGCCGAGAGAAAAAAGGCTAATGGGTGAAACGGAAGAAGAATACACACACACACATACATATATATATATATTACAAAAACCTGAATTTATCAATAAAAATATACAAATTGAAGCTTGAAACTTTATTTTGATATTGCAAGCTTATACAAAATGGCAGCAGAAAATGAGTGCCAAACCAGTAAGTTCAAGGAAGAAGTCCAAATAGCGCCAGAGATCACGTGAAATCTTGGTGGAGTCGCGAGACAACCAGACACCAAGCAACTAATGTACCAAAAATTCTCTACTCCCGTAAGCGTTTCCTTCACCCGCAGCAGCAGTAGCAGTTTGTCATGTTCCTCTCTGTTAAAAAATCAAGACGCTGAAGAATATAACGGGCTATGCCATTCAACGAAGCTAGTTGTAACCTCGAGATAATCAATCTCCAAGGTTGTACAGGGCTGAAGAGCTTTACCTGTAATGGTAAATCTACGCAATCTCCGAGTTCTCTTAATCTCTCTGGTTGTACAGGAATCACATCTCCTCCAGAGGTTACAAATTTTGAGTTGGCTCATGAATGTTTCAGGCTAAAACTCAGGCGACTCTGTTGGAGCCACAACGCAAGCACGCGTTACGCAATGAGATTGAGTAGTAACGAAAGATGTTCCTCTCGGGAGTCCTGCAATGCCCAAAGTGATGAATAAAATGCCTCTTTTTAAACTTTCAAACTGTCATATGGCTCGCTTAGTTCAATTCATATATATATATACATGTATTCTTTAAAATACTTCTGAGTTTACCTTTATCTGGATTCATCCTTGACCGAGATTTAACATGAGAAGATTCCGTCCTTTGTTCTTCGAGACCATCTCCATTGGGTACACCAGTCTCATCCGTGGCATGCTCAGTTAATCTTGATTCGCCTTTCGAGGTTACACGATCAAAGTTCTTCTCCTTTATCTCACTTTCGAGGGTTTGTTCAAGATGCTTCTCTTTTATTTTTTGGAACCTGCAGTCAATCTCATCCGAAATGTACAACAAGCTCATCCCACACTTTACCACATCGCAGCATTCTAGCTTCCTTTCCGAGTCATCTGTCACAGAGAATTCCAAGGTGGCTTTGGTATGACCACATGCACTGCTGTTGTTGTCTTCTTCGCGAAATTTCTGGACAGGGATATCATTGTTATAGCTAATAAACACATGGTCAGAACCAAGTTTTCGTGTTCCATGACCAGATGATCGACAACATTGTTCATTCCATCCCCTGAGATAGAAACTGAAGTTGACACAATTGTCATCTCTACCTTTAATGTTGCATCTGCATCTTACCCGAAAACCGCTTCTCTGATCTTTATAGTCCTTGAACGAGATAACGGTACACAGGGAAATTCCTAAAAATTGATTGTTGCACCAGTGCGGAGGAAGGTCGATTTCCATGGAAGATCCCCTTGTCCGATAGGGGAACCACAAGGGCATGTCCCACCCTGGAAAACAGACTTCTACCAAAGGTTCGAGAACAACTCCCTACAAGAATATTAAGGAAACCGTTAAAACATGATACAATGAAGTATATTCCAAATAATTGAGCAGCTGGAGTTGGACCTCATGATTATGTTGAAGTGATGAAGTTGCCAAGAGTTGACTCTTGAACTGCGCATGAGCCAGAATATTTTCTTGGGCATCTTGGGTCAGCTTGAAGCAATCTGTGAATATGAATACAGGATGCTTTCTCTCAGATACCGGGAGAAGTGTCATTGGTGTTGTTACTGTTTCCAGTGAAGTACAACCATGAGCATCTAAGTATTGGAGATTGGATGGAAGCACGGGAAGAGATTTGAGCATTTGACAATACTTCAGGTCAAGGGACTTCAGGTGATAAAGTCTCTGGATGCTTTCTGGTAAAGTCCCAAACTTGTTTTGGCATAAACATAAATTCTGCAACGACCACGAGAAGCTTAAGATGCCTGGCAATTTGTGAAGATTGCAATCTGTGAGGTAGAGGTCCGATAAGCAAGCACCACTTGAGAATAGCTGAGAAATCAAGTGCTCGGGATCTTGGACATTTGATCCACAAAATGAGAACACCTTGAGATTCCTTAAACTCAACTTTTTTGGTGAATATTGAATAGTTGTATTATCCATAAGCAAGATCTCTAAGCGTTCCATACTGTTTTCGATGGCCGGGAAACTCTCTAGGTTTTTACAACCAGAGATAATCAATTCTTCAAGAGATTTCAGCTCCTGGAGGGTGCTCGGCAGGTGCTTCAACCTCTTACAGTTCCTTAGATTCAGTAAATAAAAGTTTGTGTAGACTCCCAATGGATTCAGGAACTCTTTCTATTGAAGTGCCATCCAAATATAGATATTCTAAATTTTCTGAAACAGTTCGAAATTCGTGAAGTTTTGAGCAGCCACTGAGGATTAGAGTCTTCAAAGACTTCAAACCATCTCCCTCTGGAAGACTCTCAAAGTTTGTGCATCCTCTAAGGTTCAGGAAACATAGACTGTTCATTTCCGGGGTCGCTGAAAACAACTTGGTCAAGCTTGTACAACCTTCCAGATTCAGTCTCTGAAGATTTTGGGCCTCCGACAAACCAGATAGATTCAGCAAGTCTTTCGAATGACTAAGATCGACCCATTTCAATTTTTCTGTACTCTGCAACAAATGATCAATAGTGCAATATCTAAGCGTATGCAGACTTTGACTAAATAATATGTTCGAGTGAAGAAACATAAAGATGGATCTACCTTCTCGTCTTCCCACAGCTGTTTGATGCGGCTATAGCACAGTTTAAGATCAATGAGATTCCCTGGGTTGAAGTTTGATGGCAGGTACTCCAAGGGGAACCCCTGCCAGTTGAGGTACACCAGCTCATCTGGTAAGCAGTCAAGCCCTTGTTTGAAACGAAGTTTGCATTCATTCTCACACCCTTTAGAGCAATGAGAATTGTAGAATTTGAGGAATTTTAGTTCTCTCATCTTGGTGAAAACATCAGGGCTTATCTCCATCGCCCTAAGTTTAGCCAAGTCCTGGAAGATGCCTCTAATGTTTTTTATACCCTGGCAAAGAGGAGCAAAAGGTAAGGAGATACGTTAATAGTAAACTAAAGTAGAAGAACCCCATTTAAAGAATTAATGAACCATTTACGCTCACCCCAATTCTTTTCTTCAGCACACGATCAATGTCTTTGTGGTTCCATAATCTACTACAGTTGTCTGCCCCTTTGATGGGTGACATGGTACAGATTTTCTTCCCCATTGTATGCAGTAGATCGTGCATCTGAAGCCGATTATTAGAGATGGTAAGCAAGCACTTACCCTTAAGATCACTAATCGCAGCTGCAGCATCATAATGGTCCGCATTCAGAATGCTTGAAACAAAATCTGTTTCTTCTGATATAAAGAGGCAAGCTATATCCAGAAACATGTTCTTATGTTCAGGACTTAGGTCTACGAAACTTGACTTTAGCATGTCCTCAATCTCCGCATCTGTACTTGTTTGCAATTGAGCGAATTTCTTTCTCCAGTATGTTTCGTCCCTTCGAAGTAGATCGGAGCCTAACACTTGTAGAGCTAATGGATTCCCATCAGCATAATCTACAAACTTGTTTGCTAGGTCCCTTAGTTCCTCGGGACAGGAGCATTTTGGAAATGCCTTCGAGCTGAAAAGCTGAAAAGCTTCTTTGTCATTCAATTTCGGGACTATATACGTTACATCGACAATGCCCTTCAGCAGTTTCTGATCTCTGCTTGTTATTACAATCCAACTTCCTCCATGATAGGTGTCCTTATACCTTTCTGGTTCCCCAATAAGCTCCGTTATTTGTTTTCGAGAGGTCACATCATCAAGCACGATAAACAACTTCTTGTTTCGGAGACGGTTGGCTTCATTTGCTCCATCGGAAACCCCTGTGTCCAGATTTTCATCATCCAATAATCCACGAAGGAGATTCTGCCGCAAAGAACGTAATCCTTGTAGTTTCGACTCATTCCGAATGTCTTCAAGAAAATAATGACCATCAAAGGAAGGGAAGTTGCAATGGTAAACGCAACGTGCAACTGTTTTCTTACCAATTCCAGCCATCCCAACGACTCCAACAATTCTTACACGATTAATCTCTTGGGAAAGCAATAAATTTTCAAGTTCCTGTGCCCGTGGTTCAATTCCTGGCAGATTCCGTATATCACATGGCGATACCTTGTTCAGCATCTTCAAAGTTTCCTTGGTAATTTTATCAACCAAGTCCCGCTCTGTCCTGTCAAATGCATAACAAGTTAAAGAAGGTAAAATGTAGAATAACTGAAAATTCAGCAAGAAAAACAAAAGGAAAAAGAACAAAAAAAGTGGAGCATGCCAAAGGTATGATTGAAGAACTCAGTTCTTTGTTACCTTGGTTGACCTCAATCTAAGTTATGGTCAACACCCTTTCTCTTATAAACCTATGCAATGGGATACAATCCAATTCAGAATTCATGCAATTGAATGTGCATCATGATCGTCATCACATCAGTGATGTTGCCCTGCAATTTCATGTTTTTAGAGTACCAATTTTTTTTTTTTTTTTTCATGATAGGGTTTCGTCTTCAACATCCAAAATAGAGGAGTGCTAGATTTGGTAATACCTGTTGTCCAGCTCCACACGCCCTGCAATATTGGCAGCATCCTTCAGAGCTTGCTTCCATTGGGGAACTCTGTCCTGTTTTTCCCCGAAGCTCGCACTAGGTGTCTCGAACCGAGCGCCGAATTTCCCTTCCTGATTCCGTACATCAGATGCGGAAACTTTGTAAAAGACCGGTAAAACCTCCTGACCAAAACTCTCATGGCACTTCATGATCTTCGACAGCTCCTCCAAACACCAGTCAGAGTCAGCGTAGTTCTCGGAGAAAACGACAATGGACATCTTGGACTGTTCGATCCGGCCCAGAAGAGCAAGGAGATTATCGCCTCGCCTGAGTTTCTCGTCGATGAACGCATCGATGCCTTTCCGGCCAAGAAATTCGTAGAGGAAGCTGATGAGTCCACGGCGCGTGTCAGCGCCTCGGAAGCTCAGGAACACGTCGTACTGCCGCCGGGAAGGATCGGGTGAAGATGATGATGATGAAGAAGAAGAAGCCATGAAAAGGTCGACGATGATGCAGATATTGCCTGGTCGGAGGAAGGGATGGTGGAGAGTTCACAGATTTTTGGGTCAATAAAAGGTGTAAACGGAAGTCAAGTCGTGCAACAAAAATAAAATAAAAGGCCGGATCGTGGAAACCTACTCCACCACAAGATTCCTCCTTTCTTGTTAAAATTTTTCCTCCATCCTCTCGTCGGAAAGAAGGTCTCCGATGGACGTCAAAGAACTCGTGACGCAACATCAAGTGTACATCAGTTTCCGAGGATCTGAGTCGCGCCACGGCTTTGTCAGCCATCTAGTGAGAAATATGAAAAGAGCAGGAATCAACGTCTTCATAGATTCGGATTTGCAGAGGGGTGAAGATCTTGAGAATCTCTGGAAGAGGATCGAGGAATCGAGAGTCGCACTGGTAATCTTATCGAGTGGCTACTTGGACTCGAACTGGTGTTTGGACGAGCTGGTAGAGATCATGAAACTCGTGAAGGAAGGCAAACTCGTCGTCATTCCCATCTTCTTCAAGGTGGACGTGCGACGCTTGAAGGGGGATTTGGGTAACAAGTTCAGGAATCTGGAAAGGGCTTCTCCGGAAGACCGGATCACGAAATGGAAGGACGCCTTGGAGTATGTTGTAAGAAAGATGGGGCTCACGTTGGAGCCGCAAAGGTATTGTAACTGTTTTCTCATCAAATGATTAAGTTTGGATCAATTATCAATTTCTTTATACTCTTTGCCAATCTCAGCAACATTTCAATCTAGCTATATATGGTTAGTCTATTTAAATTTTGAAGTTGAGAAAAAAAGGCATTGTGTCTCATTGGGTTTTCTTTCCTTTCTATAGATCAGAGGCAGATTTCATTGATACAATCGTTGAAGCAGTCAAAAGAACGCTAATCGGCGTCTCATCAGAGGATGGTCGCGTCGATATTTCCCGAGGAAAAGGAGAAAACACTGAGATGGAACAATGGCTCAAGCAACTGGAAGAGAAGTTAGAGTTTCAACAGGACACAACTCGTCTGGTTGGAGTTGTTGGCGGCCATGGTAGAATACAACTTGTGAAGGAGCTGTTCAAAAAGTGGGAAAACAAGTTCCAGAGTGGCGTGCTTCTTGAAAACGTTGATAAAATGTGGCAGGAATATGGGTTGTGTTATTTGCGGATGATGCTCCTCGAGAAGTTACTCACGCATCTGAAAATTAGACCTTCAACTACACAAGAGAATGACCAGCTCGAGCTGAAGGTTCTGGTTGTTCTTGATGGCGTGAGTGACAAGACACAGATAGAAGTTCTTCTCCAGAATCACAAGTGGATTAAGAAAGGAAGCAAGATTGTTATTACTACCAGCGACAAGTCACCGGTTGTGGGACTCGTTGACGATATCTATGAATTATGCGGATCAAACTTTACCAATGATGACCAGAGTTATCATGTCTGTGCTCCCAAAGGACATATGACAAAACCATCGATGGGTGGGAAAGGCGAAACTCACCAAGAAAGGAAGCAGGCGATACCAGAGGAGGTGAATGAGTTGCATATGAGAAAAACAGATCACATCTCTGTCTTTTTCTGCAGTGACAAACAGGAAGCAGATGAGGCATCTTTCATGGAAGACATCTTGAGAGAGTTGCGGAAGCATAGTATTACTCCTTTGACATATAGTCTAACCGGCAGAAAGATCCTGAACTTGGGTATGCAACGCAGATTTGGTGTTGGTATTATAATTTTCTCAAACAACTATGCTTTCTCCAGAGAATGCCTTGATCAACTCGTGACGATCATGGAGCACCGAAAAGCCAACGACCTTCTGATTATTCCCATTTATTTTAAAGTAACACCTTCAGACATTAGGGAATGTCAAGGCAGTTTTAAAGAGGCATTTTTGCAGCTTGCAAATTCATACCAGGCAGAACAAGTTCATAAATGGAGGACAGCTATTATCGAAACAGCTTCTGTGGATGGATATGAATGGACAAAGGGGTAAATCGACTTCTGTCTTCTCTTCTCTTTCATTTGTCAGGAAGCTGTATTGAATCGCCTGAGTTTTGGGAAAGGAACCCTTGCTAAACATTTTTCAATGCACCATTCCTAGCTATCCCATGAAGCATTTTTCATTGATGCATTGTGATTTTCTCTTTGCAGGAACCATTTTACGCTTGTCAAAAAGATTGTGAGAAATGCCTGCTTGAGGCTATATTCTAGAACTAGCGAGAACCTTACCAACATCTTGTCTTTGCTAGAGCACTCCCAGACTTCAGATATGCACACTGTTGGAATTTGGGGTATGGCTGGAATAGGCAAGACAACCATAGCTACTGAAATTTTTGAAATACTAGCTCCACGGTATGACTCGTGTTACTTTCTGCAAGATTTTCATCAATCATGTCAGAAGAAAGGGCTGAACAGTTTGCGTGATGATTTTTTCTCAAAAATATTTGGAGAAGAGAACCTCGGTATGGCCGCTTCTAGTATAAAACCAAGTTTCATGAGGAACATGTTCCAACATAAAAGAGTGCTTATCATTTTGGATGATGTGAGTAATGCCGGAGATGCTGAAGCTTTAGTTGGAGGGTTTGGTTGGCTTTCGCCTGGACACATGGTCATCCTGACCTCTAGGAACAGACAAGTTCTCATACGATGCAACGTCGAAGAGCCATACGAAGTCCTAAGGTTATCAGAGTATGAATCTTTTCGCCTTTCCAAGCAGTATTTGACAGAAGAAACTTATCCGATCTCGGATATCATGAACTACGCCAATGGCATCCCGTTGGCTCTCCTAGTTTCATGTTCATCCTCATCAAAGCAGCAGACAAATAATATGAGAGAACATGTGCAGGAATTGAGGAAAAATCCTCCACCTGAGATTCAGAAAGCGTTTGAAAGAAGCTTTGATGGACTAGATGAAAATGAGAAGAACATATTTCTTGACCTTGCATGTTTTTTCAGAGGGGAGAACAGAGATCATGTGGTTCAACTACTCGATGCTTGTGGTTTCTTCACGGATTTAGGAATATGTGGTCTCATTGATGAGTCTCTCATTACCCTTTTACACGATAGGATAGAAATGCAAATTATCTTTGAAGACATGGGCCGCTTTGTTGTTCTCAAAGAAGACAAAGAGCCAGGTAAGCGTAGCAGATTGTGGGATGCTGATGACATTGCTGATGTATTGACAAGTAATTCAGTAAGTTATCTTTATTCTATTGAGTCTCTAGCATGCTTTGTACATATCTTCCTTAAGTTCCACAATGGATTCTTTGCTTTGATCATCAGGGGACAGAAGCAATTGAGGGCATATTCCTGGATGCGTCGAATTTGAGATGTGAGTTTCATCCTACTGTATTCAACAGCATGTACAGTATTAGATTGATAAAGTTCTACTATTCCACTTCTGGCAACCAGTGCAACCTTTGCCTGCCTCAAGGCCTCGAGTCTCTGCCCGATGAGCTGAGGCTTCTCCATTGGGAAAATTACCCTCTAAAATCCTTGCCTCAGGAATTCAATCCTGAGAACCTTGTTGAGCTAAACCTGCCTCATAGCGAAATCGAGAATCTATGGGAAGGGACAAAGGTAAGCCTTGACAGTATGATATTATAAGCTACATATATTAGTTACTAAGCTTTCGTCAACTCATTTTGGTTATTCATGTTGTTGAACAGGATCTCGGGAAGCTAAAGATGATCAGATTAAGTCACTCCCGACAACTAAGTAAAATCCCAAAGCTTTCAAAGGCCTTGAACCTTGAGCATATCGATGTTGAAGGATGTACTGGTCTGGTGAAAGTCAGTTCATCTATTCAGTATCTTGGCAAGCTTATTGTCTTGAATCTGAAGGGCTGTTCTCGTTTGCAAACTCTGCCTGCCATGGTTAATTTAAAATCCCTAGAAGTTCTTAATCTGTCTGGGTGCTCAGAGCTCGAGAATATCCAGGATTTCTCAGAAAATATAAGAGAGATATATCTCTCTGGGACTGCAATAAGAGAAGTTCCTTCATCGATCGAGAATCTCAGCAAACTTGCTATACTAGATTTAGAAAATTGCAAAAGGCTTCAGCACCTGCCGATGGGAGTGAGTTACTTGAAATCGCTTGGGACCCTTAAGCTGTCTGGCTGCTCAAATCTGGTGGGCCTTCAAAATCTTGATGCATTATATCTAAGATGCTTGCAACATCTCGATGCAACAAAGACGACAACCATGGAAGAATCCTCACATCTGTTTTCACATCACTCTGCTATTAAAGAATCAAAGTTGGATGGGTCACAATTCTTTCAGAACTCTTTCGCTCTGCAGTTCAGATCAGATACTGCCAATACATATTTGACTTACGGTGCTGGGGAAGAACATGTAGCAGCATTCAAATATTCATCAATCCAAGAATCTTCTTATTTGACATTGTACAGTCTTGGAAGGCTGCCCTCATCAATCTTGTACTCATTGGCATTAAGACTGTATGCCCTAGCGTGTTTGTCCCTGCCTAACGCATGCCTGCTGGACATACCTGCAGATATATTCTGTCTACCTTCACTAAGAAAATTGGATCTTAGTGGGAACGGTTTTAGCCAACTTCCTGAAAGCATCAAACAGTTTTCCAAACTAGAAGTCCTTTTGTTAAGCTATTGCAAAAACCTTACAGCTCTTCCATCAGAGCTTCCTCAAAGCCTTGAAATCTTGGATGTGCATGGTTGTACGTCTCTGGAGTCATTTCCGTCGTACTTGCTGCCTTCAATATGGATTTTGGATCTCAGTGGAAACGGTTTCAGCAGACTTCCTGAGAGCATCAAGGAGTTTTCCAAACTAGAAGTCCTTTTGTTACGCGATTGCAAAAACCTTACAGCTCTTCCATCAGAGCTTCCTCAAAGCCTTGAAACCTTGGATGTGCATGGTTGTACGTCTCTGGAGTCATTTCCGTCGTACTTGCTGCCTTCACTATGGAAATTGGATCTCAGTGGAAACGGTTTCAGCAGACTTCCTGAAAGCATCAAGGAGTTTTCCAAACTAGAAGTCCTTTTGTTACGCGATTGCAAAAACCTTACAGCTCTTCCATCAGAGCTTCCTCAAAGCCTTGAAACCTTGGATGTGCATGGTTGTACGTCTCTGGAGTCATTTCCGTCGTACTTGCTGCCTTCACTATGGAAATTGGATCTCAGTGGAAACGGTTTCAGCAGACTTCCTGAAAGCATCAAGGAGTTTTCCAAACTAGAAGTCCTTTTGTTACGCGATTGCAAAAACCTTACAGCTCTTCCATCAGAGCTTCCTCAAAGCCTTGAAACCTTGGATGCGCATGGTTGTACGTCTCTGGAGTCTATTACATGGTGTTTCGAACGGATTCCTAGACAATGCCTACTCAGTAATTGCTTTGCTCTATCTCCGGCTGTGGTAAAAGACCTTGCAGCAAAAGCTCTGGCTGGTTTTGAGCACATGGTACCTCTCTCTCCCTCTCTCTTATTATACGCATTGCCTATTGACAGAAAAGCAAGTTTTTTGAGACAGAACGTGAGACCCAGACCTCCAAAGCTAAGAATAAAGGAGAAAATTGGAATAACCTTAGATAAAACGAAACCGATAAGAAAAGTACTTGGAGTCTGGTAAGGAAAGAGAAAAGAATAAAAAAGAAATGGGATGGAAAGAAACTTGTGAAGTTTATCCAATTTCCTATGTCGTACAGCATGCTTCCTGTTCTGATTTGTTTTGCCTTGTTGGAACAGGAATTGTTTGGAGCACAACCTGGATTCAACGTATGTCTGCCCACTTCTGTAGGAGAAATCCCCACAATGCGTATCTCTACAGATCCTTGGATAACAATGCAGCTAGCATCTCAGAGAGAGAAGCAGCTCGTGGGCTTTGTTTTGTCAGTTGTTGTGGCGTTTTCGGACAATAACTCCAGAGACGATGGTTTTGGCGTTAGGTGCATAGGCAGTTGGAGAGCCAGAAAAGGGTCCTGCCACCGCAGTGTGAGAATCTTCTGGTTTTGGAAACAGTGGGAAGTCGCACCGAAGCTTCGACATGACCACACGTTTGTCTTCTATCAACATGTAATGCATCCGGCCGGTGGCAAAAAGTATGATGAAGTTGAATTTGAGTTCTATCCTGTAAAAGGGAGGGGTATGCGTCCACACGATAGCTGCACGGTGAAGCAATGCGGAGCCTATGATGTCAATGCTCTGATTGACAAGCAGAGCCCGTTTCCGTGGAAAGAGGGGAGTGTTGCCTCAAAGGAAGGGAAGCTTGTGAAGCAGATGGCTTCTAAACCCAAGTATCCTCAGGAATCTCCTCCTCTGAACCCCGTGACTCCTCATAAATGACCATACCCGTCGCATCCTGCCTCCCTTTGAACCCGAGATACATACATATGTGTGTGTATAGTCAATAATCTGTCATATTACGTAGTCATCAATCTCTATACCTTACCAATACTGAAAATTTGACTTTTTCACGTTTACATTCTCGGGTTTCTACCTTCTTGATCGAGTTTTTGAATCAATTTCTACATTACATTTGCAAATTTGAATCAGTTTCATCTGAACTGGTTTGTTCCCATTTGTTTGTTTTTTTTTTCTTTTTGACTTGAGTAGAATCTTATGTCAATGCCACGCCATTCCGTAATGGCTTTACTCGTTTAATGCCAAATTAGGTTTTCGTTGAAAATTCAAAAGTTTAGTATTTATTTTTCAAATTTGATAATCTCGTTTTTTTTCAAGTTTTAAAATTTTAGAATTAATCTGTTATAGTTATATCAAAGTTGATTTTAAAAAAAAAAACGGTCAAACTTGTTAAAAGTTATTTAACAGTAAGGCCTCCCAACTTTAGCAGCCCGAGCCCAATATAATCCGAAACCCTTCGTCTCCATGTTCGGGCAGGCGCAGAGCTGCGAGAGTTGCTTCAATGGAGGCGACTCGAAACGGAGACTCAGAGATAGAGATTCTACACCGATGAATGAAGTAACTACCTTCTACTCGTATATAGTGGACCTCCTCGTCCCGGATTCCTGATCAGAACAAAAACAAAGAGTATCGGAGATCTCGCCGGAAAACACTTCGTCGATCTCTTTCAGTCACGGACTCTGACACGAACCGGTGATGAGTCCCGAACTGCAGCTAGTTGACCTTTGCATTTTAGCATGCCAGGAAGTCTTTTTTTTTTTTTTTGCTTTATAGAGAAAGGTGGAATCAACATGAAGAATAACTGCTTTCCTGTAATGTTGTTTCTTCGCAGAAACTCTGATTCAGAAAAAGTACAAACTTTGGAAACTAAAGGATTTAATATTGTCGGAGTCAGAGACCCATAAAACTGAAGCCGTAACCCCAACGCGGCCTGTTGTTTTCCTCGGACACAACGTCTCTTCTTGAACTTCCATATGGGTTCTGTTCACCTGGGACATTGTTTGGCTCTGCATACACCAAACTTAAGCCACAATTCACCACTTGGCATCCTTCCACTTCGCTTGTACCATCATCTCTCACGACATTGAATTCAATCACTGCCTCTGTAGGAACGCATTTGCGAGAGTGCTTCTCTCTGAGACTTGTTCCGATATTCAAGCAACACGTGTGGCCCATAAAGATGTGGTCGGACTCCATCTCGAGCCCCTCGCCGGGTGGTTGGATCCAGCCCCCAAGAGTGGAACGGAAGACGATACAGGACCCGTCTTCGTTTTTGAACTTACAGTTGCATTCCACAGAGATACGGTTGACTTGATTGCGAGGTTGCTGAAATGAAACAACGGCGCACAAAGCTACTGCAGTAAGCCTGCCGTCGCACCAATGTGGGGGTAGCTTCGGTTCTAACACTGACCCGACCGCTTGGTGAGAGAACCATGAAGGTATTTCACATCCAGGAAAGCTAGAGCGGAACAGAGACTTCGATACAACACCCTGCAAAAGTTATGCCAGAAAAGGAAAAGCATAAAATTTTGTTAACTGAGATTCCTTGAAAGAGATGAAGTTTAAGAGAGAGAGAGAAAGAGGGAGAGACCCCATCATGGCATTTAAGTGCATCTAACTGGCTTCTTCTTTGAGCGTAGGATGATATACTATACTTTGCCGCTTGCTCCAGATTGTTGCAGTTTGTAAAGATGAAGGTGGAAGGGATCTGCTCAGTGGGCGCGAGAAGGGCTAGAGGACTGGCGACCCTCTTCAGTTTTTTACACCCAATTGCGTATAAGAACTCGAGATTTGGTGGGAGCGTAGGGAGGGATGCGAGATTCTTGCAGTAATTCAAGTCGAGCCATTTCAGATGATAAAGTTGGCTGATGTCGTGTTGCAGGTAGCTGATACTGTTATTTCCACTTAAGCATAAACGCTGCAGGGAGGATAGGGCATTAATGTCGCGTGGCCATTCGCACAAAACTTGGCCTTCAGACCTATTTGGTTTCCCTAGATCACTTGCTGTCCCGTCGAGCAGTAAAGTCTTCAAACCTTTCATGTCCTGCTTGATCACCGGAAAACTATTGAGCTTTGAGCAACCAGAGAGGATTAGTTGTTCAAGAGATTTCAGTTCATCCAGACAATCAGGAAGGCGCTCTAATATCTTGCAGTCTTTCATATTTAGCAAGATGAGTCTCTGGAGGTTCTTAATGGTTGGGGGAAGTTCTACTATTGCTGTGCCATCTAAGTACAATGTTTCTAGATTTTTGGAAATTGGCCGAAATTCCTTGAGATTAGAGCAGCCGCTGAGGATGAGAGTTTTCAGCGAGACCAACGACATTTTTGGAAGAGACTGGAGGCTCGTGCATCCTCTCAAGTTCAGGTAGGCGAGACTTTTCATGCTATTCATATTCGGCAACTTATCCAAAGTTGTGCAGCCTTCAAGATTCAATCTTTGAAGATTCTCTGAGCCTAATAATCCAGAGAGGTTTGACAGCTTAGTTGAGTGACTGAGATCGACCCACTTCAACTTTGGTGTATCCTACAACGAGAACAGAATCCCATTCGTGGTCAGAAAAACTACTTATGGTCAAACACAAATATGTCAACTTGGTGACGAGAGACACACCTTAACACCATTCCAAACTTGTGTGATCTTGCTGTAAGGCAGCCTGAGGTCGATGAGGTTCTTGGGGTTGAACTCTCGGGGAAGTTCCTCCATTGGGAAATTAAGCCAATGGAGATACCGTAGCTCTTCCATTATGAACTGATCAAGCCCATCGGGGAAGTGTAATGCACTTGAAGCTTCGCATTCCCGATGACAGTAAGAATTATAGATTTTGAGGTACCGAAGCTTGTTCATCTTGGCAAAGGTCCCTCTGTCCAAGGGGATTCTATTCACTTTAGACATGTCTAAAGAAATGCCTCTCACACTACACCTTTCCTGGCAAAGACCAAACAGACGAGATGTTAGAGAATTCGGCCAACATATCAGAGTATATACTTCACTAGGAAAAGAGGTGCTCAGACAAGTTTTACCACTTTTCTGTTCTGCACACTGAGGAGGTCTATTAGGCTCCAAAGCACACGCTTCCCCATTGAGCCAAGTTCCATGCCAAACTTATGCAGCAGATCGTGCATCTCTACTCGGCCACCAGATATATTGATGAGGAACTTATCAGCCAGAACTCTTATGTCACTCTCAGCATCACAGGAATCCAGTAAGCTGCTTGTGTAGCCCTCATCCATCGATCTAAAGAAACAAGCTATGTCGAGAAAGGCATCTTTCTGCTTCTCGATCAGTTCCTTGCAACTTATTTCAAAGATCTCTTGAATCGAGTTGTCACTACTGTGCACCAATTTAGCCAGTTTCTCTTTCCAGTGACTCTCATCTTTCCTGCAAAGGTCGCGGCCCAAAATCTTGAGAGCAAGCGGGTGACCTTTGGTGCAGTCCACGAAGTCTCTTGACAGCTTCATGAAGTTTCCCGAGGGATCACAGTTATGATCATCGAAGGCATAGTAGTGGAAGCACTGTAAGCCAAATCCCTCGTTCAATCTTGGCACGACATAGGTATCGTCGACTTTTCCCTCGATCACTGACATGTCCCTTGTCGTAATGACAATTCTGCTCCCGCTGCTGATCCAGTTGCATTCCCCGAGGAAATGTTCCACCTGTTTCCAGTCACTGATGCCATCAAGAACGACGAAGGCTTTTCTTGCACGCAACATAGCGTTCAAGGATTCGGGAGAAACCGCCATGTCTTGTCCCGTCTGAGGATTGCTCTTCCATAGTTCTTTCAAGAATTCCACCCGCGACTTACGGGAATCAGAAATATCTCCCATGAATACTTTCTGCATGAAGTTCTGTTGACAGTCTTCGAACAGAATCTTTGCGAGAGTGGTTTTGCCAATGCCAGGCATCCCGACAATACCTACAAGACGAGTTTTGTCGGAACAAATGTTCACTATTTCTTTCAGTTGTCGGAGAGAGGCTTCTAGTCCAAAGGAAGGTTGACGAGTTTCAACAGGAGATTGTCCTCGTCCTCCTCCCGTTGGGGGTACATCTGCGAGAGTGTTAGTACTGGAGCAAGTATTCCCTGTTTCCGCAGTCGAGATGTTGGTTAGCGCGTTCGTCACCTCCTCGATGATATCGTTTACGAATCTGCCCTCGTCGCTGCACGAAGGATTGAGAGTAATGGTGAGATATACACACATATATATATATATCAATAATCATATGGGTAATACATCCATTTTTTGGTGCCAGAAACTGATACATTTGCACACATGCACAGGTCTTTGTGATTGGGAATCGTGGATATTTAATGCGTGCATATATAATATTGTCACAAGTCAAATTCAATAAATAATTTTGCAACAGAATTTACTTTAAGTTCATTTGGTTTCATCACCCCATTGTTATAATCTGCAGATGTTTCTATGAATTAATCCCTAATCGTTACTCCTTTTTGACATTTTATTTTGGTTCCAATATGCAGCAAAAAGATCGACATTTTGGATCTTTGATAATGTGGGCATACCTCCCCTGGTCCAAAATCAAGCCTCTGTATTTCAGAACAGCCACCAGCGCTTGTTTCCACTGATGGACCTTGTCGGCATGACTTCTAACCTGCTCCACGAAGCATCGCCCGAACTCTCCCTCGAGATGTTTCACGTCGGATGGCTTCAGCTTGTAGAAGATTGGGATGACTACGAGCTTGCCTTCGTCCATGCGCTCCTTCATCTTCACCAGCTCGTTCAAGCACCATTTGGATTCAGCGTACCTGCTTGAGAAGACGGCAAGAACTATCCTCGACTCCTCGATCCTCTTGAAGAGGTCATCTATGCTCTTTCCGGCCCCGTCTTTCACGTCCATGAAGGCGTTGATCCCCGCCCCTCTCAGACCCGTGTATAGATGGCTGACGAATTGGTTTCGCAGCTGGTCTCCCCTGAAGTTGATGAACACTTGATGCTGATGTGGTCGGGACTGCACGTCGGATGATGATGATGCCGCCATATGAGCTCGTTGCAAAAGATACAGGTAATGGGAGGTTTGGTTTTGTGAACTTCTTGTTTTTTTTTCTCACTTCGACACCTTTCGGTTTTTGAAAACCTTAAACTGAATCCCAAATTTTGGATACTCGAATATACAACGTCCAAGATAATTTTTGGATATCTGCAAATATTCAAACTCGAAGGGTTTTTAACTATATTTTAATTAAAAAATTTTAAATCTATAAATTATTAATTACATATAAATGATTTATAATTAAAATAACTACATCATAAATGAGAATTTTTATATAGATAAATACAAAATCAACTAGATAATTAATAGATATCTTTATAACATTCTAATAATTTAAATAGATAATAGTTTCCCGAATGAAAATACAGATTCAACCCCCGCATCCAAATTTCGGGTTTTAATTATTTAAAACCCTAAATCTCAATCTGATTACAAGATGATTATACCCAAAATCCCGGTAATTTTAAGTTTTAACCACCCCTAGACTTTGGTGCATGGCATCTTTGAAAGTCGACGCGCAAATTGCTAATTAAAATTAAAAGTCCGTCAATTATGGCCGACAAATTAGAAGACCAAATCCTTTAAAAGAGCACACGAGATATGCTGCTACTTTTCTCACTTCCTTTCTCACCAAAGACAAATATGCTTTAATTACTGACACGCACCATGTAATTTTTTTAAAAAACTTTTTTATTTGTACACAAAACTCTGTCTAAGCAAATTTCTGCCTTACATAACTCCGTCGATCTTGATAAATTTCCGCCTTTTTTTTTCGTTTAGAACATAATTTTCATGAAGTAAATTACGCATATATATATATATTATAGAATTAGAAAAATATCATGATCTCATCTAGGTCAAGAAGAAAACGAGTAGTGGTTCTATTAAATATGATGCCCCATGTGTAATGTTTCGCCTTTCCTCGAGGCTCGAGCCAAATTGCCTAAAAAACCGGGGTTTTGTTTTGTTTTGTTTTGTTTGAGACCGAATCTTTCTTAGTCATACAACTATTATATCTAATGCAAAACTCTTTTCCGATTACTCGTCTTAAGAAGGATATTCAATATGGATTTTACTAATCGTTTCGAGAGATATAGACAGACCAAATACTCGATAAAATTTTAAATTATATATAAAAAAAATTATATCTAATCCTTGAACGGAAGTGACTGCGTGCAGCGTACTCAATTATTAAATATTCATGGTGGAGGTAGAAATAAAACCGTCCATCCAATTATTATATAAAAAAGTAATCATATTAGCCTTTCCATTTTTTAATATCTTTCATTTGTCTTTCGAATTCAAAATTTGAAAGTGAAGACTTTATTTCATTGAAATTTAGAAGAAATTTTGACGTATAAGAATATTAATGTTAGGGGAAATTTTATTATGAACAACAAATACGCAATGGTCTTAGAAACAGAAGAATACACAATTATATATTCTTTAAATATTCTTAAAACATTTAAATGAATCAAATATATAAAAAAATAATCATAATGTGTTCTAAATTTATATTGAAGATTTAGATATAAAATTATTTACAGCTTTTACTAAAAAGGTAAAAAAAATACATCAAGCCTTTAAAATATATGAAAAATACACAAAATTTTAAATATACATTTATTTTTCAAAATATCAAATTAATATATCAATTTTCAAAATAGTAGTACATATATAAATATACACATACACTGATACACGCATACACATGCATACACAAATGTATACACTAGTTTCTTCTAATTTCATGTATTTTTCTTCTAATTTCTTTTTTATAAATGATTTGGATAGGTAAAGTGATAATTATATGGTGGCTTTGGGAGTTTTTAAAATCTAAAAATAAAAAAATTGACAATCAAATTTTTATAAAAATAATTTTTCTAAAAATTTAGAAAGCCACTTTCATAAAAAAAAAAATCAACTAAAAACAAAAAAACTCTATTATTTTAAATTTACAAAAACCAAAAACCATAATTCAAAACCAAAAAATTAAAAATTAAAGTAAAAAACTCAAAATAAAAGCAATTGCCATTCAAAATCATGATTATATTCTAATTTTTTTCTCAATTTAAAAGGTGATAGTGTTCGTAATAATTTATGATGCTTTTAAAAGTTGGTATATTTATTTGATATTTTTACAAATTATATTTCTGCGAAATTATATATATTATACACATTTTCAAGAAGAATTAGTATATTTTAGTATATATATTACACGTTTTTTTAATTATTAAATATTTGTTAAGATTTTAAAAATATTTAATTAAAAGGTTAATGACACAAAAAAACTCCAAATTTATTAAAATATTTCATATAAAACCATGAATTTGCAATCTCTCACAAAAAATTCTGAATTTGATAAAAACTTTCAAAAATTTTGTTGACATAGCACGATATATTGTTGACAAGATGATTATTAAACTGTCACGTTAACGCCAAATCATCATTTTAAAAATTAAAATATTTAAAAAGAGAGTCTCTCTCTCTCTCTCTCTCTCTCTCTCTCTCTCTCTCTCTCTCTCTCTCTCTCTCTCTAAGTTACTCAAGTGTCATTTCTTCTTGTCTTTCTTCACTCTCTATATCTCAAAAATCTTTGCAACTTCTCAACCTCAATCAAGGAAAATTTTGTATCAAGATTCTCAAGAAACCCCATAAATCTCCTCCTAAATTTAAAAAAACAAACACCATATATGTCCTTTTTCTCCATACCCATAAAGACGTACGTACTTCCTTTTCTTTTTCCTCCAACTCAAAGAAAACCGAAGCTAGGGTTCGTTGGGCAGATTTCATAGCCAAAGATTCAAAGCTTGAGCCTCTTTTCCCATCAAGAACAAGAAAAGAAGCTTTGTCTGGTTACAACCATGGAGCTGTTTCCTGCTCAACCAGATTTATCCTTACGAATCAGTCCTCCGAACACCAAACCGTCGTCCACGTGGCAGAGAAGATCAACAGAAGCGGCCGAGAATCTTGATTTAGGATTTTGGAGAAGAGCTTTGGATTCAAGAACCGATTCTAAAACCGAAAGTTCATTCGATCTTTCGTTGTCGAACGGCTCCTATTTGTCGAGGAGCCCCGTTTCGATCTCGTCGGCAGACTCGAACACTCTCCCGAATTTCAATGGCTCCAAAATCTTGAACCCGCTTCCATTCCAGACAGATCAACAAGTTGTTCAAGAACAACTACATGGGTTTCTTAGGGACAACCTCAACATCTTAAGGCCGATACGAGGAATCCCACTGTACCAGAACCCTCCTCATCACACTTCACATCCACCGTCTTTTTCTTTCGATCCCTCGTCTTTGATTCCTTCTTCTTCTTCTTCCTCTTCTTCTTGTTCACTAGTCAATAACAACATTAGTGCCACAAAAGTTGCCAACTCCGGCCTAACAACCACTAATTATCACCCTAGCCACCACCATCGTCATCATCACGGCTTGATGACGAACAACAGATCAAGATTCATGCCAAGATTTCCGGTGAAGCGAAGTATGAGAGCTCCTCGGATGCGGTGGACGACCACTCTCCACGCCCGGTTCGTCCACGCAGTCGAAATGCTCGGCGGACATGAAAGTATGCATGTCCATGAAAATTAATTAAAGGTTCCACATTTTTTTGTTGTTATCTTCAGTTATTCTAATCCGTTTTCGTTTTGTTTAACCGCTAGGAGCAACACCCAAATCGGTTCTTGAGCTCATGGCTGTAAAAGATCTGACCCTGGCTCACGTCAAGTCTCATTTACAGGTAATTCACTTATTTAATCGTTATTGATCGATTAACCCTTCTTTTAAGAACACCTATATCATCAAATGGGTTTAAATTTCTCTGATTGCTATGTATATATATATATATACACTTCAACTCGAATAACGATGATTTTGACTCAGTGTCTTCCTTAATCTGAGTTCGAGGATTGTGAGCTGGATCGTCAGTGAATAGAAGAATCTTGTCTTTCTTCCACCTTTTCCCTTTTCCACAGTAATTAATTCGAATGACCACCAATCAAGCAAAGTTAACATCCTACATCGGGATGAGTTAAGCAATACATGAGCCTGTTTATATATATATATATATATATGCCCGTGTTTCTGTACATATATATATATATAAGGTATACAGATGAAAGAGTACAATTTCAAACAAGTTGGTCTTTCGTTTCTTCGTTTAATTTCTTGGAAGAATAAACTTGAAGTTACCTTTAGTTTCTTTATATAATATATCTGTTGGTCCTGCAAGATCATAGACAGGCCTTTGCTTGCTTTGTTTTATGGGAAGAAGAATCACTACTTGTCCTGTAATAACTACAAATTACTCAACATTTCATATTACTGACACATATATAGAGATAACGAAGGAGAGAGAGAGAGGTCAATGTTTTGATTTTAATCGGTTTCAGAGAATAATTAAGGCAGGAAAACTAAGCCCTAAAAATGTTTTTTTTTTCTTGGTTTATTTTCCATTGTTAGATTCATCTCATAATAAAATCAAATGGGTTTTCCGAAGATATGAACGATGTTTAGAGGTCGATTCAGACAATATTTTTTAGAAAAAAAGTGTTTTTTTTTTAAATAATGTTTGGTTGAAGATCTGATTGGTCAATTGCTATGCATGGTTTTTTGGGTTAAAAAATAGAGGGGAAAATTCTGGGAGGGAGGAGGAGTACAGAAACACCATCATTTCTTAATGATATGATGCTCTCTCTCCCCCCCCCCTAGACGAAATGGAATGGGATTTCATTCAACCATGGTTGGGTTAGGTTTCGACCATGGTCAGACACATAAATTGAGGCGTTGGACATGAAAATTGCGAACCACATTAATAATATCATTAATGGTTCTGTGTCTGAACAGTTATTTTCTATTGCTATCTCCCAACGTATATACTTTCAGAACTTCTTGGTTCTGTTCTGTCCACTTGTGTCGGGGCAGGACACACCGTTTCTTTTGGCTCTATGCCACGGTGAAAATAGTACATTGGTCTGCTTTCTCTGTCTTCTTCTCCTTATTTTGCCCATATATATATATATGTTTATGTTTGAATACAAACTTAGCTTTTTAAATTGATTATCTTACAATTTTTTAAAAAATTATTTCATATTGAGATTCTGGTGTAACTTTATATATATATTTTATATCAGATGTACCGGACAGTGAAGACTACCGACAAAGCAGCAGCAGCTTCGTCCGGTATATTCGGCATTCTATTAAATTAACGTTATTTGTCAAGAGAAAAATAGAGATTTATATAATCGTATATGACAGAATCCTAACTAATCTGGGATTTGTACATTTGTTTTTATAGGACAATCTGATGTCATTGAAACTGTATCTTCGGGGGATAACTCGGACGATTGTATCTTCCGTGTGAACCGGAAATCGAGGCAAAACAATGAAATGCAGAATCAAAGAGAGATATCTAATGGTGACAAAGGAAATGACTATCGCGGTCTATGGAGCAGCTCCTCCGGGTAATTCATTCATTCTTCGTCCACATATATATTATATATTTCTATAAAATGTGTATGTATATATATATACCGAAAGTTCATTCGATCTTTCGTTGTCGAACGGCTCCTATTTGTCGAGGAGCCCCGTTTCGATCTCGTCGGCAGACTCGAACACTCTCCCGAATTTCAATGGCTCCAAAATCTTGAACCCGCTTCCATTCCAGAAAAATTTGATTAAAATATTTGTATATTTAAAATTTTAAATTATAAACTTATTATATATACAAATACATATATATATATGTGTATGTATGTATATAAGTATATGTATATGTATTTGTACATTTAAAATTTTAAAACAAAAACTTATATATATATATAAATTTGATAAAAATATATATGTATGTTTGTATATAGGTAATATATATATACATATATTTGAATATTTAAAATTTTAAATTACAAACTTAATATATATACAAATATATATGTATATATATTTGAAACAAAAATTAGAAATTTATATTAAAAATTTTAAAATAACGATGTGGTGATATATCAACTCAATCAGTACCATATTAACAATCCATCTTGCTAAGTTAGTAAAAATTTTTGTCAAACAAGTCAAAGATTTTATATGAAAGAAAATTATAAGTTTGTAATTTTTGTAGAAGTTTTTATGAAATTTAGGGGTTTTTTTTTTAGAAAATCACTCAAATTTTTATATGAAATATTTTAATAAATTTGGTTTTTTTAATACACAAATTTTATAAAAAAAGTTTAGTTTTTTATGGATTAATCTTTAATTAAATAAAAACTAAGGTGTAATTTTCCCTTAACGTCAAGGAAATATCTACACTCACGTCTCTTCCGTTGGTCTCTCTGCAGAAAAGAAAGTAAGAAAAACAGAGGAGAAAGAAAAAGAAACATCAAAGATGGCCACAAAGGAAAGCGTCTTCATCAGCTGCGGCGGTGAGGACACTCGATACTCCTTCGTCAGCCACCTGTGCATGGCTTTCTGCCGCAGAAACATCTCCATTAACTTGTCGGAAATAGAGGAAGCCAATGCTTCTGTCGTCGTTTTCTCCCATGACTATGCCTTCTCCGAGCCATCACTGGATGACCTCGTCAAGGTTTGGAGACTGCGCCTCGAGAATGGCCATCTCGTGGTTCCGGTGTTGTACGGCGTGGCTCAATCCGATGTCGAGCAACTTAATGGGAGCTTCGGGGAAGCTTTTTCCGAACACGAGGGCTCGGATTCGGCTCATCGAGTGCCCGAATGGCGCAAGGCCGTCGTGGAAATCGCTCGTTTACCAGGCCACGAATGTAATGCTCAAATAAGGTATTATTCGAATAAACGATTAATTTGATTGCGATACAAACCTTCTTCCTCCATATAAATTTCTCCCTTGATATGTGCAGTGAGTCTAAATTCGTGGAAGATATCGTCACTGACGTACACGAGAAGCTCTTTCCCACCGATAAACTTGGAATTCAATCGATCTTGCTGGAGATAGAAGACTTGATTTGCCAGCAACCGTGGGCCATCCGCTGTGTAGGAATTTGGGGTATGGGAGGCATTGGCAAAACCACCGTCGCTCAAGCTGCTTTTGCTAGAATGTCTGAACACTATGAAGCTTCTTGCTTCATCCCAGACTTTGACGAATCCTTCCGCACAATGGGTCTGCACCGTCTGCGGGGAGAAACCTTACCCGCAGTGTTTGACATAAACAACCGAAGCCACCCTAGACGCCGTAAAAGGTGTCTTCTTGTTCTTGATGACGTGAGCAATCCTTTGGATGCGGAGTCTTTTCTTGGAGGGTTTGATCGGTTTGGCCTGGGAAGCCTTATAATCATAACCTCCAGAGATAAGCAAGTGCTCGTCTATTGTGGGGTCAAACAGATATACGAGGTTAGGGGTTTGAATGAGGACGAGTCTCTGCACTTATTCTCGCGGCGTGCATTTGGGAAAGACGCGATGAAGAAGGAATTCCTGAATGTGTCAGAGATGGTTGTTGAATATGCTATGGGTAACCCTAAAGTTCTCACCTATTATGGAGAAAAGCTCAAGGGAAAGAAACCGGCCGAGATGAAGATGGCCTTTCTCAAGCTCAAGCAACATACTCCCCATAAAATTATGGAACTATTCAAGAACAACTACGACTCTCTTAGTGACAATGAGAGGAATATATTTCTGGACATTGCTTGTTTCTTCGCGGGAGAAACTGTTGACTATGTGGTGCAGCTCTTTGAAGCTTGTGGTTTCTTTCCACGTGTTGGGATCGAAGTTCTTGTCTATAAGTCTCTTGTGTTTATCTCAGACAACAGGGTTGTAATGCATGATCTGATCCGGGACGTAGCTCGCCAGATCGTCAATGGAGAAACAACACAAATTGAGAGGCGTTGCAGACTGTGGGAGGCTTCCATCATCAAGTATCTACTAGAAGAAGTTGATCTTCAAGTAAATGTAAAAGATATATTAAACTTCGGCCACATTTTGGTCTGTTCATATTTTGAAGTTTTCATGCAGAACTTGGTTTTCTAATATGCGCTTTCTTCTTTAATCTATCTGCTTCTCTTGTGTTTTCAGGGTACGCTAGATATCCAAGGCATATCTCTGGACACGTCTGAATTAAGCTTCGATGTAAAATCAATGGCATTCAAGAAAATGTATGGTCTTAGGGTTTTGAAGATTTACAATTCCAGTCCTGGAAAACATCCCAGAGTCCGGCTTCCTAATGGCCTAGAGTCTCTGCCTAATGAGCTAAGGCTTCTCCATTGGGAAAATTACCCTCTAAAATCATTGCCTCAGAAATTTAATCCTGAGAACCTTGTAGAGCTAAACATGTCTCATAGCAAAATCAAGAAGCTATGGGAAGGGACAAAGGTAATCATTGACTGTACGCTAGTGTTAGCTACATGTACGAGTTATTACTAAGCTTGCAATGATCAACTCGTTTTGGCTATTCATGTTGGTGAACAGGATCTCCGGAATCTAAAGATGATCAGATTAAGCCACTCCCGACAGCTAACTGAATTCCCAAGGCTTTCTAAGGCCTTGAACCTTGAGCATATCGATGTTGAAGGATGTACTGGTCTGGTGAAAGTCAGTTCATCTATTCAGTATCTTGGCAAGCTTGTTGTCTTGAATCTGAAGGGTTGTTCTCGTTTGCAAACTCTGCCTGCCATGGTTAATTTAAAATCCCTAGAAGTTCTTAATCTGTCTGGGTGCTCAGAGCTCGAGAATATTCAGGATTTCTCAGAAAATATAAGAGAGATATATCTCTCTGGGACTGCAATAAGAGAAGTTCCTTCATCGATCGAGAATCTCAGCAAACTTGCTATACTAGATTTAGAAAATTGCAAAAGGCTTCAGCACCTGCCGATGGGAGTGAGTTACTTGAAATCGCTTGGGACCCTTAAGCTGTCTGGCTGCTCAAATCTGGTGGGCCTTCAAAATCTTGATGCATTATATCTAAGATGCTTGCAACATCTCGATGCAACAAAGACGACAACCATGGAAGAATCCTCACATCTGTTTTCACATCACTCTGCTATTAAAGAATCAAAGTTGGATGGGTCACAATTCTTTCAGAACTCTTTCGCTCTGCAGTTCAGATCAGATACTGCCAATACAT